TTCGAAGAAGGATGAATATAAAAATATTGGACAAAAGGTTAAAAGGAATGCATTTTCACAAAAAAAATGAATAATTAAAATTCTGTATACATCTTGTTGTAAGAATCAAATAATGATGTGACTCGCTAACATGTATCATTTGATATAGCTTCTCTGAGGATAAAGCCTGCAACTTTCAGTTCGCTTTAGACTAAATCGTCGAGAAAAAGTTTATTATTCGTGTGTTCAAAATCCACGATTGAGATGGCTATTTGTTTCTTAATCACTTTTCTAAAATAACTTTTCTGTATTGGTTTGTATCGACAGGATTATATTCACTCTTTAAATTAAGCTGCTTTGTTCTTATAGTGCAGTTTAAAACATTCGCTTATGGACTTGACTAGCGTCAGTAATCGTATGTTTTTCTAACATAATATTCTGTTGGTGTAGAAAGAGTTTTAAAATATCAAAATTCGTTTATTTCTGATCACCCCGTATAAGAAATTTCTCAAAACGAAAATCTCCTATGAAATTTACGTGTGTTACATGCGCAAAATCTTACGTGGATTTTCAAGACTTCTGGAAAACTTGCTCAAAAACCAAGAAAAAACGCCTCTATGGCAGAAAGCGATAGACATGCTGAAATTACACACTCTGATCAATTCGATCATGTACGTATAACTATTATGGAAATTTTAAAGAAGACTGGGTAAAATACTTATAATTTTTGAACGAAAGGTGATAGAGACCTGCGGTTTTCACCATTCGAAAGAGGGGATCAGGGAACGTACGATTACGGGAAAAGGAGAGCATCTAGAAATGATAGAATGTAGGTCGAGTCGAAAAAAGATCTGATCTGAGCTTTGGTTCCGTGGGAGGTTTTCCCGAGACATGCTAAAAGATAGTATGCATAAACTGGAAATTCCACCTAACTTTTTCGGTACGATCTATATTCTATGATCTCTGCTAATCATTCCCTGAAAATTCCAGTCTTTTTGAACGAGAAATGAGTGGAATATAGGGTTTTTAATTTTCGACGGTAACAGGCGAAAAAACGGCTTTTCTGGAGTTGCGGTTGGGTAGGAAATGAAACGAACATCGCGACGATGATCAGCATGGTTGATTACCTATGGTCCACATGTTCCTGAGATTCCCAGACCTGGCTACAGTGAGATGGGCGTGTCCTCGGAAAACGTCTGTATTTTCAGAACCAAAGGAGATGAAGACTTGGCTCTTGCGTAGTCTTGAAGAGAGATGTTTTGACTATCGATTGCTATTATTTGAGGTTGGATGTCAGATTGTGGTTTAGGAACGGTAAAGTTTTGGATTTTGCTTCGAATGGCGTACCATGGTTCGGAGCCGTGATTTTTCCATAGGTATATGTCCCCAGATCTCCTCTTTTGAATGATCTCCAGCATCTTTCGTTCAAAAGTTATAAGCATTTTACCCAATCTTCTTCTTTTTAAATTTCGATAACTACAGACAGATGAAAAGAGAGTTTTAGATCAAGTTTATTTTCGAAAAAAGTTTTTGTCAGAAGGGTACATTATACTTGCTAAAGTACTATTAACAACCGAAGACTGACATGCATGGATATAAAAGTGATAAAACTACATGCATACATACACACGTACATAGTCTAGAAAAGAGAAATAACAGAACAAAAAACTTAGTCATATTCTTCTTTAAAGCTTTTTGATGAGCAGATAAAGTCAATAACAGCGAGATAAATAGAAGTACAGTTCGCTCTGCAAAGATTTTCTCTTGATAGTAATAACTTAAGACTGAAAGGGGGATGACTGGGCCTATTCTAAGATGAAACTCTTATTAAGTAAGGATTTACGCCTAAAAAATTCTGATAGTGCCAGACCGTACAGCATATCAAGTTATCTATTTGAAAAACTTTTGAGTACTAACGAACAAGTTTGAAGCGAGTTATTTTATTGGGAAAAATACCTCAGTGCCACTTATTCTAGCTGGTTGAGAGGTTGAAGTTTTCATAACTTGGTGAAAACTTATTCATTACAACTCAAAACTATAACTAACTGAGATCTACAACATTATGTGCAAAAATCAGAAAAAAAACCTGACATGTTCTTAAATAAATTTCATGATCTTAATTGTTTCTTTTTGAAGAATTTAATGACTAAGCTAACCTCTGTTAAGCTTTTAAAATAACTCTAACGTTCAACATGTAAAGTATGACTGCAATGGCTGATGAAGCAAATAAATGTTTTAACGTATGTCCGCTGACTGTTTTTAATGTCAATCGAAATACCGGTTTGTCAGCAACTTCACTTACTTTTGCCATACTGTATAGAATACACGCGTAAATATAAAACGATGTATGACTGTATATATTCGACGATATTAATAATAGAATTGGGATATAAATCATCGGATAAAATTGTACCAAGATGTATGGACGTAAATCATCTTTATAATACCAATAGGCACATGATACAAAACCGATAATTAACAAAAATGGAAAAAGACATTTGCCTAATAATGGACTGATACGTTCATCAATTAATAAACCGAGAAGTGATGAGAATCCAACAGTCATTGGTAATCGATCCCATACCAATGTACCATTTGACGGTCTTAAATGATAATAGGATGAACCAATGCACACGAAACAAATACTTAGAAAAAATATTAACCAACCCAATTTTTCAAATGATGTGAAAAATACAATTGTTGTATGTGACAACAAGAGATACAGACCATATGCACCAATGATTAAAAAGGGTATATTTGATAAAACATCAAGTGCATGTGGAATATTTGGCATAAATGATGCTGAGATCAAATGATGTAACGAACGTTGATCAGCAAATTCATGATAGGATTGTGATTGTGGTATGGGTGGAACAAAATAGATCATAAATAAACACCAATAGATTATTGATACTAGTAGAAATAAACCCTTTATTGTTGATGAAACTGGCCCATGAGCAATACAATAATACTAAAAATGCAAGTCATTAAGTGTTTCAACATGATCCGATGGACTTCCACAAAAGTCCCAAAAAAAACTGCTACGAATGCCAAAAACGATTGAAGAAGTATAAACATTACACTTATTTAAGGACAATAGTGAAAGACAATACGAAGATTAGTAATACAGCAGCGCGTTTAAAATTCATTATTTTAATTTTTTAGTTTACATTCACGAATACAATTTTCATTAGCAAGAGAAGACACGTAACAACAAGAGACACATAAATTCAATCGAGAAATTTAAAAAGCGTGTTCAGCCAAAACCGATCGCAGATTCGGACTCTCTATAGTTGATTACCTTGCACATAACAAGTTTTGAATCGGGATACTCCAGAAAAGATTTTCTCCATTATTTTGCAAAAGAATTTTTTACGAAGTGCCTAAAGGGGATCAAGGGCTGAATGAGACTGAAAGAAATTTTTCTAGACTATCTGATTCAAAACTTGCTATGTACAAGATAATCGACTATGG